CTTGAACTTCAATCCTTATATACTTTTATTCAATTATGAATTTGTGCTCATATGGCAACTATTTTCAGGCAGGAATGTCTTCACAACCATCACAACCCACTGTTGGAAGCAGTGTCATCCCAACTGTAAATTTTATTTCAACACATATTTCATGCACCAGTGCTGCTGCAAGTGGAATTACAACTAGGAGGAAAAAATATGTTACTGATGGAGGCCTAAATAATAAGAAGAAAAAGTGAGCATGAGTTGGAGGTCTAAACCTGTTCTTGCAAATTGTTATGTAGTTGAAACTGTAAACTGAAGTGTAATGCTTATGTAATTGATAATGTTTTTGCAAACTAAAAGTGTAATGCTTATGTAGTTGATAATATTTTTGCAAACTGTTATGTAATGCTTATGTAATTTATAATGTTTTTGCAAACTGAAGTGTAATGCTTACTGTCAATGAAGTTGAAGTTTTGCTTACTGTCAAGTTTTGATTAAAATGAAGTTTTAGTAAGAGCTCAATGTTACGGTTTTAGTAAATTGTTGATCAAACAAACAAATGAAGTTTTGCTTACTGTACTGTCAATTTTTGCTTCTTGTTAATGCTTACCATATACTGTCAAAATGAATGGCTATATTCAAATGGAGCACTTTCAAACAAACAGAATGAATGGCTTACTGCCAATGCTTACTTGGAATGGCTATATTCAAATGAATGGCTCAAACAAACAGAATGAATGGCTTACTGCCAAAATGAATGGCTCAATTAACATTCAAACAAACAGATAACTTTACATTACATTGTTGCTGGGAGTTCATTAGGCCATTCATTGCTGGAAAAAAATACAGTTAACCTCATTACAGTACTACTTTAGCTGCAATAACCTTACACTTACTACATCAGATTTGATCCATATATTCATAACAAACACTGCAAATACAACCCCAATTCCAAATCCATACAAAAACTTCAAATTCGACTCCCAAATCTTCTTATTAATTTCGTGATCTTTTTTATCAATAGTAAAGTGCAACTTCTCAATTTCCTTCTCATACTTGTCTGCCCTCTTCAACAAACCTCTAATCACATTTGCTACACGTTCGGAGACATCATAGTCCATCCATTCAAAAAATCGGCAACTCTCATTTCCCTGACCATATATATGTCAAAATAGAATTAAATAACAATGTTTAACCTAATAACTTGCCAAATTTTACACTTACCCCGTATCTTGGACATGCCCTATATTTCTTCCCTGGGTTAGCATAACTCCATGACATCTTCATTGGAGCCACATATCCGCACCTACATCGCACCTCCGCTATGAATTCCGATGATGAACTTGTCTTTCAAGACATTATCTTTCTTCTTTGTTGGTTGGAGTCTTCAAATTTTTCGAAAGCTCTCGCAATTCCAGAACTAGGGCTACTGATGGATAGTTTCCTTCTTGCCTATTCGACTCTGTTTCGGATATAAAAAGAGAGTAATAGACTAAGAGAATAAGAAATGACCAAAATGTCTAGGGCAAATCGGAGCTCTCGCCTGAGTCTTGACGAAATACGGCCATAGGGACTGAATTGACGAAAAACAATTATTTTCGGGGACCAAATCGATGAATACGCGATTCAGGGGCAACATTGATAAGTCGCTAATAACTGAGGGACCAAATCGTTGATTCACCCTTCTTTTAATGAAAAAGAAATGGCAACTGTTTCGTCTGTTACGATTTGCCGCATTCAATTTTTTAAGTAATGTTGTAATGAAACTACAATGTGTATAAAATGAAACTGAATAACAAATCTCACATATTTAGGGATTGTTATGATGTGCAACCGTGTCCACCATGCATTCATAATTTCTATACTGTAGATTCATAATTTCTATACTATAGATTCATAAAATATATATTGTAGATTCATAATTTCTAAACCGTAGATTATTAATTTAAATACAGTAGATTCATAATTTCTATACAGTAGATTCATAATTTCTATACTATAGATTCATAATATCTGTACTGTAGATTCATAATTTCTGTACTGTAGATTCATAATTGCTAAACTATATAGTTATCAAATTATGAACATATAGTTATGTGATTTTTGAATACAGAGTTCAACAATTGGGAATATGAACATCGAAAATTATGAACATATAGCTCTATAAGTATGAACATATATTTATAAAATTATGAATCTACAGTATAGATTTTATGAATCTACATTATAGAAATTATGAATCTACAGTATAAAAATTATGAATCTAGAACCGTGTGCACCATGCATGGTACACACGGTTGCACAACATAATTTGCCCATATTGAATGCATATTGTCGAATGAAATTGTAGTTGAATTGGAATGATACTTTAAGCATGTCCAGGGTCGGCACTGACTAGGACTAAAGAGGAATTAACTCAATATCGAAATTCTAGTTACATTTTTTTTTAATCATTTTCAAGTGATTAGAAATATTGAGTTTTACTTTTACATTATACATAAAATATGCGACCATTATACAGTGGACCATGGTAAAAAGACGATGTTGTTTCTTTTAATGAAAAAGAAACGACAGTTGTTACGTCTGTTACAATGTGGCACACTCAATTTCTTTTAAGTGTTATTGTAATGTTACTACAGTGTGCATAAAAGGAAACTAAATAATAAATCTCACATATTATTGAGTGTATATTGTCGAATGAAACTGTAGTTGAATTAGAATGATACTTTAGTAGTGCTGGAAAGAAATTATAGTGTGTATAAAATGAAACTGAATAACATGTCTCACATATTGAGTGCAAACTGTCAAATGAAACTGTAGTTGAATAATGATAATACTTTAGTGGTGCATTAATGAAACTACATTGTGCATATAATGAAATTGAATAGCAAGTCTCACATATTAAATGTGTACTATTAATTGAAAATGTTATTTAATTAGAATGATACTTTGATGATGCTATAATAAAACTGTATAAAATAAAATTAAATAACAAGTCTCACATATTGAGTATATATATTGTCAAATGTAATTGAATAATAATGATACTTTAGTAGTACTCTGAATAGCAGACTTTAGTTGAATTAAAATAATATTGATAATGAAACTACACTAGACATAAAATGAAATGAAATTTGCCATCTACCATTATTAACGAAAAAACTTAAAACGACACCGTTCTAACTATAGTCCATGTAAACCACAATCTACAATAAAATTTGTCCAAAATATGCCTATGGGTCTTTTTCATTGTACACAATTCATTTTAGTAGCATTACAATTAGACCGGTGTACTGCATACAAAAATACAATTAAACCACTAAAATATAAATACGAATTACCTACAAAATTCTTATAATGTTATAGAAGGCACAAGAAAACAGCATCCCTCCATGACCACAGGAAAACAAAAAAGTTGCATTCCAATACAGTTAACTTGCAAAGATCCTCAAACTAACAGTTATACATCACCAAACCTTATAGAGTACGAGTCAATGCACAAACTCAATTCCATAGAAGTACACTATGGATTCTTAGAGCTGAAAATAATTTTGGCTTTTATGGAGGCACGATGAAAATCCAACAGCTCCAACTTATGAGTTTCAAAGTCAAAGTATTCGTATTCAGCATCTTCATAACAGACATCCATTGATCTTGCAGGAGTAATGACAACCTTTTCAAGTGCCGGAAAGCCATCAAGTAGCACCATGATGAAAAGGGTTTCAGTGTAAGCCCCTCTAAATGAATTCAGATTCAAAGTCTGAAGCAATTTATGTCTTTGAGCAACAGCATGAAATTCCTTGAAATGTCTTCGCTCAGGATCAAAAAAACAATTACAGGCCACTGGGGAAAACTTCATAAAGAAACATATAACAATTAAAAAAATAAGATAAAATAAAAGAGTTAAGGAATGCAATTATAATAATAATGGAAATATAGAATCTCACAGAAAATTTAATCAAGGAAAATAAAATTACTTCTAAATCTATATCAAGTTGGCATAACTTTGGGCATATTCGAAGCAAATGAAGGAATGCATCAGAAATGTCCTCAGAAATGTCATCATCCACATCCCCATAGTTATTTGATAACATCAAGTGTTCTACATTTAGTGTAGGTGGTTGTTCTTGTAGTCCACTTCCAGTAAGTCTATCAACAAAATCCTTTGTAACCAAATAGAAATCAAGTTGGATCAATTCCAAACAAATAATTTAAATAAATAATTATCTGAATAAAAAATTTAAAAAAAAAAAAAAAAAAAAAAAAAAAAGAAGCTCTAGCTAATATACCTCGAGAGAAGTACAATCCAATTCAAGAGTACGAACAGATTCCAAGCCCAAGTTAACAGAGAGTTGGTGCACATGGATACTGGTGATTGTTAAACTACTAAGTTTTTGAGCAGTAATGTTAATTTCAGACTCGGTTTCACATAATACAAATGACAGATGGTCGAGCATAGGAACATTAGGCAGAAGATCTCTACCATCAAAGTTTATACTTTCAAAACAAAGTGAAGTGAGATTTGGTAATGTGTAACAGGCATTTAGTGGTTCGACAGAGATTCCATCAGAAGATGCAAGCTCCTTAGTGTTAGGCAAGAAAATATGCAATTCGGCAGCTTGTATTCACCATCTTGCGAAACAATAATGTCGATTTCTTCAACACCATTTTGTGTGACAAAAGGGAGCCATTTGTCAAAGCCAAATGACCGATAACTAAACTCTTTGGCAGTGCTAAAAGGAAAATTGAAGGCAAATTTGCGAATAAGTCCATTGTGTTGCATGACAACCTTGTTGATCACATAAGACCCCATAGATGTCCCGATATCAATGTCTTCCTTTTCGTCATGGTAATATTTTTTCACATTGTGACAAAAGAAGTCATGACCAAAGTCGAGTTCTGTGAGATTGAGCCAAACATTTCTCCAATGGGTAGACAAAACAGCAAGTCTAGCAGCTTCAACAGTCGTCAATAACACCAAAATCTTGTCAAGTATATCTGTCGGAAGTTCACTAATTCTATCTCTCCATGTATCTGCAAGAAGCTCACTATTTCCATCTCTCCGTTGCCGTCTATGCCGCCGTCCACGACCCATAATCTTATATAACTTAAATATATGCAAATCAAAGAACAAATAAATTAAAATTGAAACATAACCCTAAATTAAAATGGGTGAACTAGGAGATAGTAATTCAATTGCAAGTCTCAATCACAGGCAGGAAGATGTCAATTATGAAAGATGTAAGATGCAAAATTAATGGAGTCCCTATCCGAGCCCAGTGAGTATACAAGCATTAAACATGATTAAGGCAAAAAGATTAGTGTACCCAAACCGTTGTAAAATAAAGTCACACTTTGGGCAACCCTAGCCAAATTGGTCTGTTTGTTCTTCGTAACCACAAGGTTCCAAGTTAAACTCCTAGTAAGAGGGCCAATTGTCCTCCCTCATCACCCCAAAAAGAAAAAATTAATAAAGGCATTTTTTAAGATGAAAAAAACCCCATAAAATAAAATAAAATAAAGAAGAACCACAACAGCAACATTGTGTTGCATTTGTTAGATGAGAGTATGAAGAAGATGAATATGTGGCAGGTGATGGAAAAGAAGGAACACATGAACACAGAAACCACTAGATTGTGAAGGTGCGCAGTACATGAAAAATTAAGTTAAGATTTAGAAAATTCTAACATAATCAGGAGAAACACAGGAATAAATCACATTGGAATAAAGGGGTTTATTCAATTTCAACCGCACTATATTAGTATATTGAATATCAAACCCTAAATGTATGAAGGTAGTGTGAGGAAGAGAAACGAAAGCCGTAAGAATGTACACAAACACACTGGAAAACAGTAGATTGCGGTTTCAGAAAAACCTGTAAGTAATCAAAATAGGCGGAAGAATGTAGCGGCGGCGAGCTGCGATTGCGAACACTACAATCGATTGAGCGTATACAGAAAAACGTGTAAGTAATCGATTGACCACATTGCCAAGTGCCTGAGTACTCCGCACAAAGCAGCACCAAAAACAATTTATACCCTTCACTAGGGTCCACATGTCCAAAAAATTTTGGGAGTGAATTCCATTTTTGGTCTACGGGCGTTTCAAATTTTAGTCCATCTTAATTTTTTTTGCCACTTTATAACCACTATTATTGAATGTGTTCCACTTTTAGTCCCACCGTTAGTATTTTCATCAAGAGGCCGTGTAATCTAGGGGTATTTTGACATTTCTTCTCATCCAAGACTATGTTTGACTAAAGAAATGAGAACATTAAACCTAAAACCTAAGAAACCTCGCCGGCCTATGTTGGAACGAACGAAACGATGTTGCTTTAGCTTTCCATTCTCGTTGTTCGAAGAGCCATCTTCGAATATTAGAGGAGGAGGACGAAGCGCCTAGATTAAAAGAGAAGAGACAAACATAAAAAGACCAAAATACCCTTTGATTATACGGCCTTTTGACGGAAATATTAACGGTGGACTAAAAGTGTAACACATTCCATAACAGTGGTTGTAAAGTGGCAAAAAAAATTAAAGTTGACTGAAATTGGAAATGCCCATATAACAGTAAGACCAAAAATAGAATTCACTCAAATTTTGGTACCTAATGTAGCATTTGTCCTATTGAGATTTGAACTTGTGACATTTTATTTCGAAAAGTCACAATTATATCACTTGACCATAGAATATTTGGCTCTCTATAATTAACTTATTATATATTTTTAATTTATTTACATTCATATAATTTATTAATTGAAATCACATAATATGTTGACTATAAAAATATAATTTTTTGGTCAAAGTCCACAATGCAATATGGATTTTAGTCCATTGTATAATAATTGAACAAATGGAATTAGGGCTAAAACTGGCAATCGTTATGCTGTGGAGCCGTGTTCATAATTACTGAACTATATGTTCATAATTATAAAACTATATATTCATAACTTTTGAACTTCATATTCATAATTATTGAACTTTATATTCACAATTACAGAACTTTATGATCATAATTACTGAACTATATATTCATAATTATAAAGCTATATATTCATAATTTTTGAACTTTATATTCACAATTATTGAATCTCTATATTCATAATTACAGAACTATATGTTTATAATTATGTTCACAACTCTATGTTCATAATTATAAAATTATATGTTCATAATATTTGAACTATATATTCATAATTATGAACAGTTTTGAAACCGTGTCCACCTTACACGGTTCCACATCATTATTTGCCATAAACTGGTGGCTAGTCGGATAAAACAAAACAAAAAAAAAAGTTAAAATTACATTAAAAATTTTAGTCCAGGATAAGCTTGATAGTCTAAACTCTAAAAAATAAATACAAATTTTATTTCGACAATTATTAGCAAAATGATAGTTTTTGTCTACATGTTTAATCCTTACCAATTTTTATCAACGACTATTGTTTTAGTACTAATTTTCGTCAACGACTATTGTTTTAGTACCAATTTTCATCCACGACTATTGTTTTAGTGTCAAAATTCATCACGTTGGTTGCTCCTTATTTTAAGACATGCGGAAATCTAAAATTTTTAAGGGTGCATGTTTTCGCCCTTTTGAACTTAAGATTCAAATTTGAGCATGAATAAAGGGATTTAATCCCTAAGATCAATCCCAATTCGCAGTTTTCCTCATCATCCTACCTTAATTTGATGAGGAGAATTGCAAATTGGGATCGATCTTAGAGTTAAAATCCCTTTATATTTATGCTCAAATTGGGATATTAGTTTGAAAATGATGAAAATACCCTCAATAATTTCGTATTTCAGCATGTCTTTAACGAAGGGAACGAAGGGGTGAAGAATTTTGGCACTAAAACAATAATTGTGGACGAAAATTGGTACTAAAACAATAGTCAAAGATAAAAATTGGTATGAATTAAACATGTGAACCAAAACTGTCATTTTATTAATACTCGTGTAACTAAAATTAATATTTGCTTAAACTCTAAACATGCATGCTAACTTGAAATTTAGTAGATTAGTTGAGCAAAATATACTGATAGTGGGATTTAAGGGCTTTTAATTTGGCAATGTTGGTAAGCAGGGTTGGAGGTTCCTTACTAACCCCTAGTTGCTCGTGTGTATAAAGCCATGTATTTTCCTAATACAGATTTTTTGAATGCTACAGCGGAAAACTGTCCTAGTTTTTGCTAGAGGAGTATTATGACATCCCATGGCCTAATTTGTGGTAAAATCATAAGCAGAATTGGAAATGGTGCAACTACATTTGTATTGGGTGACCCTTGGTTACTAGGTGATTATGATCCTAAGGTGCAAACGAAGAAGCCGAATTATTTGGACGATGTTAAGGTGTCTGGGTTGATAGATCCTGTGTCTATATCTTGGGATTTACCTTTGCTCAATGAACTATTTTTGGCAGGTGATATTGAAGGCATAATTCGTATCCCGATAAGTCCAGCTTTTGAGAATTTGTGGTATTGGTGTGGAGACTCAAGGGGAGTTTATACGGTTAATGAAGCATACCCAGATATTATGGGGGACTTAGCCTCTCATTTTATTGGCTTTTCCTCTGGGAATAGAATTTGAAAATTAAAGGTCCTCCAAAGTGGAAGACTTTTGTGTGGAGGGCTGTGAGTAATGTCTTCCAACTACAACTAACTTAAATAATATAAGGGTAGAGGTCCCTTTTGCATGCCCTATGTGTGGTGTTCAAAATAAAAATATCATGCATACTCTTGTGTTGTGTGACTACTCTAAGTGTGCTTGGCATGCTTCTAATTTGATGGTGCAGCGTGTGGTGAGAGATGATTTCGGTGGATCGTTGGATGCGATGCTACAAGAGGTGGATGAGGCGTACTTTGGTCTAATGGTGGCTGCCATGCATGCAGTATGGGCGCAACGCAATTCGGCAGTTTGGGAGTCCAAGTTGGCTCTCCCTAGTTGTGTGGCGTTGGCGGCTCGTGCTTCTCTGGAGGCCTGGCAATTGGCTAATACGGTGCAACCGCCTTCAGCAGCTACGCATGTACAGCAGGGCACGGTGCCGGTGTGTGCTTTCGACGCTGGGATTTGAAGCTAGCTCCGGCAAGGCTACATATGGTATTATATTGCTGGATGTTGCAGGGAGTACGTTTTATTGCGGCAAAGAACGGATGCTTGTCGAGCTGTACGGGTCCTTTTATGGTGGAGTCTTTGGCCTGTAAGGAGGCTCTACCTTGACTTCTAGAGCGGGGGGTTTCGGCTTTTATGCTTCGTTCAAATTGTTTAAATCTTTGCCAAGTTCTTTCTTCGTGAGTTTCGTTCATACAATGGAATAGCTGTTTCAGCATGTAGGGAGTTATTATGTTCTTTTGATTCTTGTTCGTTGTTAGTCGTACATCTAATTGTTTAGCATATATATTCATTAGCTAGCATATATATTCATTAGCTTCAGTAGCCTTCTCTCAGGCTAACTCTATGTTGTGGGAGACTGTGCCTCCTGACTTTGTTTTAGCATTGCTTGATTAATATATGCAGCGTTTACATTCAAAAAAAATATACTGATAGTTTATATGTAAGGTGATATTTAGAGAAAGTATAGAACAACTACTGCCTTGAAATAGAGTCAATAGTATTTGAAAAAAATATGTAAGGTAATATTTAGTATTTTTATTAAATTAGTAAACAAAATTTTATGAAAATAATTAATAAAAAATTATTATAATTAATATATTAGTATAAATATATTAATTATTTTTAATCAATATAGTGTAAATATATTAATCATTTTTAGTTATAATTTAAAAAGAGAAGTTTAGATTAATTGAATAATATATACTTTGGTAAGTTTCAATTTGTATTTATTATTTAACAAAAAAGTTGTAGTTATATCGTCTGATAAATCCAACCGTCCGAAGTTTGACAATTATTATTGTGTGGACCATACTATCAAATAATGTATATTCAATATTCAAATAATGTACTTTTCTTGAATATAATATATATTTATTTGTGTACTGAAAATACATTATTTTGTATGATGTACGTTTGCTACATGAATAATATATTTTTAGTATGTATTTTTTTTATGATCCACACAGCATTGTGAACCATGGTCCATACAATAATTTTTCAAAATTTGACTTATAAACTCAACAGAACTAGCCCGTTCACTAAACGAGTTGGCCCAGAGTCGTTATGTTGTGCATCCGTGTGCACCATGCATAGTGCACACGGATGCAAAAATGACGTCGACTTAAAAAAAATAAAAATTCAGAATTACATAATTATACATCCATAATTGCATAACTATACATCCAGAATTGCATAACTAAACATTCATAACTTCATTATTATACATCCAAAATTGCATAACTACACATCCATAACTTTATAACTATAAATCCAGAATTGTATAACTTCATAACTATACTTTCAGAATTGCATAACTACACATCCATAATTTCATAACTATAAATCCAGAATTGCATAACTATACATCCATAATTTCATAACTATACATTCATAAATTATGCACAACATAATGTTGTTGACGGGAATCGAAACTGATTTTTTTTTTTTTAAATTGGACGCGCGTTTTTAATCAAAACGACGTCGTTTTTGCATCCGTGTGCACCATGCACAACATAATTTGAGCTACAAGATAGATACAAAACAATCATGAATTTGAGCTACAAGATGAAGTTCCTTCAAAAGTTCAAATATAAACGCCACTAAATCAACTTTTAGAAAAGGGTCGGAGCAAAAAGAAATAAGAGTCAAATTGGTCATCAAATTGCACACGGTAATGCAATTAGGCCATTGAATCAAAAAAAAAAAAAAATTACAATTGAATCTCTAAACTAATATAATTTGTAGGTTTTTCTGGTTTCTAACATGTTACCCCAAATTTAAAATATTTTGTAAAAATAATTAGGAAAAATTGCACTTTTCGTCAAGTTATAAGGTAATAGTAAAATTCATCCCTGAGTGTTGGTCATGCTCACTTTTCGTCCCTAAGTTATAAATGGCGTTGCACTTTTCGTCCCTGAGTTATATTAAAATTGCAAATTTCGTCCCTAATGTTTTATTAGTAAATGGACGAAAAGTGCAACGTCAATGATAACTTAGGGACGAAAAGTAAGTATAACCAACACTTAGAGACGAATTCTACAATTACCCTATAACTTAGGGGCGAAAAGTGCAACTTTTCCAAATATTTAAAATAATTAGCAAAAAAAAAAAAAAAAAAAAAAAAAAAAAAAAAGAGCTTCAGCTTCGTCTCCGACGAGAAGACTCGGGTCGCGCAGACCAGCTCCCTCATGTCGATCTGGCTCTCACCAACTGTTAAGTTTTGAGTTCTCTTTATATATGTCTTACATATTGAGTGTAAATTGTCAAATGAAACTGTAGTTGAATAATAATGATACTTTAGTGGTTCCGTAATGAAACTACATTGTGTATAAAATGAAATTGAATAGCAAGTCTCACATATTGAATGCATATTGTTAAATGAAACCGTTGTTTAATTAGAATGATACTTTGATTATATACTATAATGAAACTACAATGTGTATAAAACAAAACGGAATTGCAGGTCTCACATATTGAATATATATTGTCAAATGAGAACGTAGTTGAACAGTAATGATACTTTAGTAGTGCCGTAATGAAACTACATTGTGTATAAAATGCAACTGAATAGCCGAAACTGTAGTTTTAAAATAATATTATAGTGGTGCTATAATGAAACTACATTGTACATAAAATGAAATAGAATTTCACCATATACCATTATTAACGAAAAAATTTAAAACAACACAGTTTTGACTATATATGGTCCATTTAGACCACAATCCACAATAAAATTTGTCCAAAATATGCCTATGGGTCTGTTTCATTGTACACAATTCATTTTAGTAGGATTACAATTAAGCCATTGAACTGCACACAAAAATACAATTAAACCACTAAAGTATAAATACGATTGCATACAAAATTCTTATAATGTTATAGAAGGCACAAGAAAACAGCACCCCTCCATGTGAACAGGAAAACAAAAAAGTTGCATTCCAATACAGTTAACTTGCAGTGATCCTCAAACTATCAGTTATACATCACCAAACCTATAGAGTACGAGTCAATGCACAAACTCAATTCCATAGAAGTACATGCACAATGGATTCTTAGAGCTGAAAATAATTTTAGCTTTTGCGGAGGCACAAGGAAAATCCAACAGCTTCAATTTATTAAATTTAAAGTGGTCATCATATAGGATTCTTGGGCGTATAGGAGTAATGACAACCTTCTCAAGTGCCGGAAAGCAATCAAGTAGCCTCATGATGAAAAGGGTATCAGTGTAACGCCCTCTAAATGCATCCAGATTCAAAGTGTGAAGCAATTTATGTCTTTGAGCAACAGCACGAAATTCCTTCGAATATCTTTGATCAGTATAACAATCACTTGCCACTTGGGAAAACTTCATAAAAGAAACATTAAAAAAAAAAAAAGGAGAGTTAAGGAATGCAATAATAATAATAATGGAAATAACTAGACTCTCACAGAAATATTAATCAAACAAAATAAAATTACTTCTAAATCTATATCAAGTTGGCGTAACTTTGGGCATATTCGAAGCAAATGAATGAATGCACAAGAAATGTCATCATCCCTATCACTCTCCCTATGCCGATCGTTATTTGATAACATCAAGTGTTCCACATTTAGTGCAGGTGGTTGTTGGTGTAGTCCCCTTCTAGTAAATCTATTAACAAAATCCTTTGAAACCAAATAGAAATCAAAGTTGGATCAGTTCCAAACAAATAATTTAAATAAATAATTATCTGAATTAAAAAACAAAAAAGGTCTAACTAATATACCTCGAGAGAAGTATAATCCAATTCAAGAGTACGAACAGATTCCAAGCCCAAGTTAACAGAGAGTTGGTGCAAAGGGCAAAAGATGATTGCTAAACTACTAACATTTTGAGCAGTAATGCTACTTTCAGACCGGGTTTCACATAATACAAATGACAAATTGTCGAGCATAGGAACATCAAGCAGAAGATCTCCACCATCAAAGACAATATGTTTAAAACAAACTGACTTGAGATTTGGTAATGTGCAATGCGCATTTAGTGGTTCGACAGAGATTCCATCAAGATGCAAGCTCCTTAGTGTTAGGCAAGAAAATATGCAATTCGGCAACTTGTATTCACCATCATCGTCTGGCATACCACTAATGTCGATTTCTTCAACACCATTTTGTGTGACAAAAGGGAGCCATTGATCAAAGCCAAATGACCAATAACTAAACACTCTGGCAGGGCGAAAAGGAAATTTGAAGGCAAATTTGCGAATAAGTCCATTGTGTTGCATGAGAACCTTGTTGATCACATAAAAACCCATAGATGTCCAGATATCAATGTCGTCCTTTTCGTCATGGTAATATTTATTCAGAAGGTGACAAAAGAAGTCATAACCAAAGTCGAGTTCTGTGCGATTGAGCCAAATATTTCTCCAATGGGTAGACAAAACAGCAAGCCTAGCAGCTTCAATAGTCGGCAATAACACCAAAATCTTGTCAAGTATATCTGCTGGAAGTTCACTAATTCTATCTCTCCGTCGCCCTCTACGCCACTGCCGTCCACGACCCATAATCTTAAAAAACTTAAATATATGCAAATCAAAGAACAAATAAATTAAAATTGAAGCATAACCCTAAATTAAAATGGGTGAACTAGGAGATAGTAATTCAATTGCAAATCTCAATCACAAGCAGGAAGATGCCAATTATGAAAGATTTAAGATGCAAAATTAATGGAGTCCCTATCCTAGCCCAGTGAATTCGTTCCGAGCTTTTGAGTATAAAAGCATTAAGCATGATTAAGGCAAAAAGATTAGTGCATTGTTTAGATTTTTTTTTTTTGGTAGAGAGTGCATTTGTTAGATGAGAGTATGAAGAAGATGAATATGTGGCAGGTGATGGAAAAGAAGGAACACAGAAACCACTAGATTGTGAAGGTGCGCAGTACATGAAAAAAGTTCAAATTTTTAGAAAATGATAACATAATCAGAAGAAACACAGGAATAAATCACATTGGAATAAAGGGGTTTATTCAATTTCAACCGCACTATATTGAATATCAAACCCTAAATGTATGAAGGTAGTGTGAGGGAGAGAAACGAAAGGCGGAAGAATGTACACATACACACTGGCAAACAGTAGATTGCGGTTTCAGAAAAACCTGTAAGTAATCAAAATAGCCGGAAGAATGCAGCGCCGGCGACCTGCGAACACTAGAATCACAATTATATTATTATTTGACCATAAAGTCTTTGGCTCTCTATAATTAACATATTATATTTTTTCAATTTAGTTACATTCACATGAGTTATTAACTGAAATTACATAATATGTTAACTTTTAAAAACATAATTTTTTGATCAAAATTCACAATGCAAGGTGAACTTATTCCATGGTATAATAATTGAACAAATAGAATTTTGGCTAAAACTGGTGGCTAGTCGGGTAAAACTAAAAAATGTTAAAATTACGTTAAAAAAATTTAGTCCACGTCTCCATGATAAGCTTGATAGTCTAAACTCTAAAGAATAAGTACAATTTTTTTTTCTACAACTATTAGCAAAATGACAGTTTTAGTCTACATATTTAATTCTTATCAATTTTTATCAACAATTATTATTTCAGTACCAATTTTTATTCACGACTATTATTTTAGTGTCAAAATTCATCACGATGATCGCTCCTCATTTTTTTTGAAAGGGAAAGGACTTTTATAAATCAGGAAATAAGATGTTCAATACAATACGGAATAGTAGAAAACCAACTAAGGTGACCAGATTGGGAACTAGCAGCCCTAGCTAACGCATGAACAAGCAAATTCGCTGATCGATTAACATACTGAATGGACACTGATTCAAAGGGTGATCTCTCCTCATTTTAAGACATGCGAAAATCTAAAATTTTTAAGGGTACGTGTTTTCGTCCTTTTAAAATTAAGATCTCAATTTGAGCATGAATAAAGTGATTTAAGCCCTAAGATCGATCTCAATTCGCAGTTTTCCTCGCCATCCTACCTTAATTTGATGAGGAGAATTGCAAATTGTGGTCGATCTTAGAGTTTAAATCCCTTTATTTATGCACAAATTAGAATATTAATTTGAAAATGATGAAAATACCCTCAATAATTTCATATTTCACAATGTCTTAAGTGAAGGGGTGACGAATTTTGGCACTAAAACAATAGTTGTGGATAAAAATTAGTATTAAAATAGTCGTGAATGAAAAATTGTTAGGAATTAAACATGTGAACTCACACTGTCATTTTGCTAATACTTGTGGGACTAAAATTAGTATTTGCTCCAACTCTAAACATGCTAACTTGAAATTTAGTAGATCAGTTGAACAAAATATACTGATAGTTTATATGTAAGGTGATATTTAGTATTTTTATTAAATTAGTTAATAACATTTAATGAAAATAATAAATAAAAAATTATTATAATTAATATAAATATATTAATTATTTTTAATCAATATAGTGTAAATATATTAATCATTTTTTTGCCTCGACTAAGGTTCGATCTCATGACCTCCTATATGAGAGAGGTCACTACATGTCATTTGAGCACGAACGGATACTACAATGTAATAGAGTCAATAAATATATACCAGAGGCATTTGGCAGGATACTACAATGTAATAGAGTCAATAAATATATACCAGAGGCATTCGGCAGGGGGGTCCACTATCTCCTTACCTTTTTATTCTTTGTGCGGAGGAAAGTTAATACCAGAGGCATTTGGCAGGGGGACCCACTATCTCCTTACGTTTTTATTCTTTGTGCGGAGGAAAGTTAATACCAGAGGCATTCGGCAGGGGGACGCACTATCCCCTTACCTTTTTATTCTTTGTGCGGAGGCGTTGTCATTGTTATTACAACAAGCGAAACTATTCACGGCGTTCGAGTGGCACGAGGTGCACCGTCCATCTCGCACCTCTTTGTGCGGAGGAAAGTTAATACCAGAGGCATTTGGCAGGGGGACCCACTATCTCCTTACCTTTTTATTCTTTGTGCGGAGGAAAGTTAATACCAGAGGCATTTGGCAGGGGGACCCACTATCTCCTTACCTTTTTTATTCTTTGTGAGGAGGAAAGTTAATACCAGAGGCATTCGGCAGGGGGATGCACTATCCCCTTACCTTTTTATTCTTTGTGCGGAAACGTTGTCATTGTTGTTACAACAGGCGAAAGCGGCTGGAACTATTCACGGCGTTCGAGTGGCACGAGGTGCACCGTCCATCTCGCACTTCTTTTTTTTTCCGATAATAGCCTTTTGTTCTTCAGAGCCAATCGCTGTGAAGCTCAAAAGGTTAAAGAGTGTTTGGAGGAATACAGTGTGGCATCAGGGCAGCGGATTAATTTCGAGAAATCAAATGCCATGTTCAGTTTTAACACTTTGGCCGAATCACAACAGGTGGTATCTGAGGGTGTGGGGGGTTCGGGAATCTTCTGATCTTGGCCGTTACCTGGGTTTTTCTTCGGTTTTGTGCCGTAATAAAACAACAACTTTTCGTTACATAGAAGAGAAGGTTCGGGAACGAATCGGGGCTTGGCAACATAAATTTCTCTCTAAAGCCGGTAATGGGGTTCTACTTAAAAGCATTGCGCAAGCACTCCCGATTTTTACTATGTCAATTTTCTTATTGCTTGCCAGTGTTTGCGGCTCTATTGAATAATTGTTTAATCGATATTGGTGGGGTGGGGGAAGTACGAGCAGTAGAGGGGTACACTGGTTAAATTGGGCCCAGTTATGCGTGTCCAAGGATCATAGAGGCCTTGGCTTCAAGAAACTACACGAGTTTAACGTCGCACTTCTAGCCAAACAGGGATGGAGACTGATGATTCACCCAGAGTCCTTAGTAAGTTGCTGAAAGCTAAATACTACCCAACTTGCGATTTTCTCGATGCAAGAATCGAGGGTAATCCAAGTTTCATATGGCGAAGTATCTTGGCAGGACAGCAGGTTCTTATGCTAGGTGCAGCTCGACGGATCGGAAATGAAAAGGAAACAAAAGTCTAGGGTTGGCCATGATTGGCTAATTCTACCGATCCTTTTCTTAGCACGCCTTGTACGCCGGAGTTAGCAGAGGCAACAGTGAACAGACTATTAACAGACCATGGACAGTGGGATACAGTTCTCCTCAAGGACATTTTCCAGTATGATGATGTTGGCAAGGTCCTCGCAACGCTAGTCTATACGCATCTCAACGACTCCTAGCGGTGGCAAGGTGATATCTGGGGACTGTACATGGTGAAACAGGGCTATAAGTTACTCACTGAGGCGAGTACGGGTATCGAGTCCAACATTGCATTCTCAGCTTGGAAAAAATTGTGGCGCCTGCCGGTTTCACCCAAAGTTCGCAGCTTGTTGTGGAAATGTGCTCGTGGTGTGTTGCCGGTGAGAGAGAACCTCAAGAAAAAAGGATTTGGATCGGAGGAGGCTGTCCTTTTTGTGATGGTCTGGCGGAGACAGTGGGACATCTCTTCTGCGAATGCACGTTGGCCAGCAGACTGTAGGGAGTGGTGGACATTCTACAAGGCCGATGTATTCAAAGCCTCATGGGCTCCATTTTGGGATCGGCGTATCCGGATCAAGTAGTTCACATGACGACCATCTTCTGGGTTGTCTAGACTGCACGTAACGATCGGGTATGGCGGAACATGGAGCGGAATGTGGACACGTTGAGGGAACAGGTGATGGCGTTGCAACTTTCATGGAAGGAGGCCTTTTCGAGCACAAGAACGAGAGAACAAAGACTGGGTTCTCCAGTAAGCTGGGAGCCGCCGTCGCCTCACAATTACTTCAAGTGCAATATGGACGTGGCAACCTTTGAGGATGGAGTTGGCTTTGGAGCAGTAGTCCGCGGTCACGGTGGCTGTTTCGTGGCAGCTAGAAGTGGCTGTTTCGTGGAAGCTAGAAGTGGTCGTCTAGAATGCAACAATGATCCTTTTATGGCGGAAGCAGTTGCGGTCAAAGAGGCACTTACTTGGTTAAAAGGTTTAGGACATAATAATTTAATCATCGAAACATATTGTTTAAACTTTTGTACTGCTTTCAATTCTCGCTTTCTAGATTATTTTTATGTAGGTCTGATTGTCAAGAAATGTCTTTTAATTGCTAATGACATTGAGAACGTGTCTGTTCGCCATGTCAAGAGATCAGCTAATCGAGTAGCCTATGTGTTCGCACGGGCGACTGGTTCATCGACTGTCTCGTCTCGGATTCGTGAGCTGTTGCCCCACCTGCTTATATTTCTAGTTTGCTAAGTCATTAATGCTATTTTCGTTTGGTTTCAAAAAAAAAAAATGTTAATACCCAATATAGTCTTCGATTATAATAATTTTACTCAATTTAGTTCTAAGTGACTTTTTGTACTCTATTTAGTTATCGACTTTAATGGTTTTACACACTTTAGCTGTTAATAACAATATTAACATTGTAATTTCATTTTCCTTTTATTTTTTATCAAATTAATTATTAATTACCTTTCCTAATTTCTCTCCATCTTCTCAGTCTTCTGCCGCCGATACAATTCTCCCATCCCCCTCCCTCTTCTCAGTCTCTACAATCGATATCAGCAATTTTATTGAAAAAAATTCAAAATATTTAGCTGAAATTTCTCCATTTTCGTCCTCTATTTGAGCTTTTGGGTAGGTTTTGGTACTACACTGTTCTTCTCTCCTTCGCCATGATCGCATCAGTTGCGCGCGAATCTTCAAGCTCCTTCATCATCAATCCGGATTGTGATCATGTGTGGCTCATGAGCTTGCTCGGGCAACCGTTTTGGAGGCAAGCTCCTTAGTGTTAGGCAAGAAAATATGCAATCCGGCAACTTGAATATACGATTTCGCATAACATTAATGTGGATTTCTTCAACACCCTTTTGTGTGACATAAGGGAGCCATTGGTCAAAATAACTAAACTCTTTGACAGCGCTAAAAGGAAAACTGAAGGCAAATTTACGAATAAGTCCTTTGTGTTGCATGAGAAGATTGTTGATCACATAAAACCCCATAGATGCCCAGTTATCAAAGCCTTCCTTTTTGTCATGGTAATATTTTCCCAGAATGTGAATAAAGAAGTCACAACCAAAGTCGAGTTCTGTGAGATTGAGCTAAACATTTCTCCAATGGGTAGAAAAAACAGCAAGTCTAGCAGCTTCAACAGTCGCCAATAACACCAAAATCTTGTCAAGTATATCTGCCGGAAGTTCACTAATTCTATCCCTCCGTTGCCCTCTACGCCGCCGTCCACCACCCATAATCTTAGAAAACTTAAATATATGCAAATCAAAGAACAAATGAACTAAAAATGGCAATTCATATTCATTTCCAAGATGATCTGCAATTCTACAATACTCATCCCTATATTCTAGCCATCCAACAAACTCCTAAATTAGTGGGAGGAGTATCAGGGAAGGAAAACAAAAAAGATAACAATAAGAAAATATTTTAGCACTTAGTAATATGTTTTTAATTTATTTAAATTCAAATAATTTATTAACTGAAATTGCATAATATGTTAATTTTAAAAATATATGGAGTAATTATTAAATCAAAATCTATAATGCAAGATGGACTCTAGTTCATAGTATAATAGTTGAATAAATGGAATTAGGCTAAAACTGGTGGCTAGTCGAATCAATTGTTATACCATGGACGCGCAATTTAAACGTGTGAAAATAACGATGCTATCGGTGCCTGAGAGTCACACTGTTTCTTCATCCAATGATTTTTTTTTTTTAAATATTGAAAATGATTCAGCGAGTGAATATTCTATAATTGTGAATATAGAATTCTTTAATCGTGAATATAAAGTTATGAAATTGTGAATACAGAGTTCTGTAATTGTTAATATAGAATTTAAAAATTGTTAAATATAAAATTATGCAATTGTGAATATTACGTTCCGTAATTTTGTATATTAAAATCTAAAATTGTGAATATTCAATTCTGAAATTGTTAATTTTAAGTTCCAAAGTCATTTTGAAGCAAAATGACACCATTTTAGACCTGGGTCCTATTTGCCATATTCCTATTTAACTGATTTCAAATAGAATTTTAAACTCTTTTTTAAAGTAAATTTTTTTTGGAGTTAATACCTAAAATAGTCCCTCGACTATGCTATAATTACCAATTTGGTCCTCAACTACCATTCTTACCCAATTAAGTCCTCAACTATGTAACTTTTACTCAATTAAGTCCTCAACTATACAATTCTTACCCAATTTAGTCCTCAACTATACAATTCTTATCCAATTTAGTCCTCTGTATTAATTTGATTGTTTGTTGACTGTCAAAAGTCAGGATAAAATTATAATTTTACAAGATTTCTCCTTCCTCTCCATTTAGCAGCGCCAAACCATGCAGCAATACACTCCGATCAGATTTCGATCGTCAAAAAATCGTTGGAAATCAAATTCATGGACTATCCGATGCATAACCACTACTTCGATACTGACAGGTTTAGAACCCAACCGGAGTTTATTGCTACATGGTTTGGCACTGCTAAATGAGGAGGAAGGAGAAAACTTGTAAAATTACAACTTTATTTCCACTTTTGACAGTCAACAAACAGTCAAATTGACAAAGGACTGAATTGGATAAAAATTGTATAGTTGAGGACTTAATTGGGTAAAAATTGTATAATTGAGGACTTAATTGGGTAAGAATGATAGTCGAGGACTAAATTGGTAATTACGTCATAATCGAGGGACTATTTTAGGTATTAACTCTCTTTTTTTGCTTTAAACTCTTTTAAAGTAAATTTTTCAAGATACACAACAATCATGAATTTGAGCTACAAGATGAAGTTCCTTCAAAAGTTCAAATATGCCTCTAAATCAACAATTAGAAAAGGGTGGGAGAAAAAAATAAATCAAAAATAGAAACAATTGTTATACTAGTGCAAAAGGAGTAGTACAAGTGTTTTTGATAGGATCATGATATTAGTGCTATAAAGAATTGATTGTAAAATGTGTGACAAAAACAACTAAATCATAGGATCCCCAAGGAACTCAATATTTGGTGTCCAAGAAAATGGCTGTAAAGATCTCTGTTAGCACCAGATTGGTAAAAAGATCACTGGAAAGAATGTTCAGTTTCTGTGTCGAAAACTCCGAAAAAACAAGATTCCCAGGCCAAGGCCTGCAACCGAGAGAGCAGAGATAGCAGATACTTTGACAGGGTGGTCAAGCTCAGATATTAACCTGTGTCGCCTCGTCCTCGGTTGATGTTGCGATCTGGGTCCCGCCCTCTCGCGGAGAAGAGTGCTAAGGTTGTCGAGTTGAAGCATAATTTGGCGTTGGCTACGCGCAATGTTCGACAGCTGGTTTCAAAGAACGAGTTGACATATCATTTAAGAAGCAAACAAATACTCTTCCTATGTCTAGTCGATTCTCTTTTGTTTTTTTTGGTGTAAACCACGAGGTGGTCCGGGTCTTTCTCTGTCCGTTTAACGGTACAGGTCCACCTGACTAATTCCCCTTCGCTCCGGGAGGCACAGGATCTGGCCTAAAAGGAATCGCCACTTGTGGGAATCGAACCAGGGTTATCCCGAAATTCTCCCCCACAAAGAGAGCTCATTTGCTACTTGAGCTACCCTGTTGGGTTTCTAGTCGATTCTCTAATCGTCATTTCTCAGTTTTGGGGGGGGGGGGGGGGGGGGATGGGTGGTTGCACGAGCAAGCAAATTGTAAATAAAAAGAAAAAGAGGGTTTAAGAAGAAACGCGAGGAGGATAGAGGATACCTCTTCAGTCAAAGTGGAATCCCTTGCGATATGGGAAGAAGAAGACGAGTGTGGCATTATAGATCCAGTCAAGGAACCGTTCTCTAAACTAGATATGAAGTGAGAAGTCGGGGCAGATCCATTGCCGGTTTCAGATAGCTGAGCGATATTCGGGGTGCGAGGGGAACTTCGTCGGTTGCTTAAATTGGAATTCAGTTCTTCCAGCCTAGACGTGAAGTCGTCCATCCTATCGTTTAGAGTAGAAATCTGTTCCGATAGCTGTGCAATAGCTCCCTAACAGAATAAAACGAAGGAGGAAAAATATGAAACCAATAAACATAACAAACATAGGATGGATAAAATGAGGTGCAAAGCAAGTAAAATAATGTACCTAAAGACAATAAACAAATATATTCGACTCTTGTAGTGTGCATAACGTCACCTGGTTTGCTAATGTTGATTGTGAGACTAGAGCCCTGTCATCAAGCTTCTGATCGGTGGTCGAAAATTCATCGACTTTGGATAGGTTTGTGTCCCTATGTGTTGAATAGGAATGTGACATCCCGCTGCAAAAATGTACGTCAATAACAAACTAGTTTGATATCAAAAAGTTACATCGAAACAAAACAACCCCAGTCAAGTTGGTCAAACTGTTGACTTGGTAACCACAAAGTTACATGTTCCACTCCCAGCGGGAGTGGCTTCCTGGCCTTCTTGGTTTGAGCCAGTCAACGGGTCAACTATGGGCAACCTAGGCTGATTTACCTCCTTGTGATCCTTTGCCAGTTAGGATCACAAGACGGGATTTACCCAGTGCACACCATCGGGTAGTGATGGCAGATTTCCCTCGTCACTCAAAAAGTTTCATCGAAACATCACTTACCCGAGGCAGATTATAGTTTATTCACATTACCCGAGGCAAGAATGCCGGGAGGTCTACTTAGCCGTGATGGCAGATTTCCCTCGTCACTCAAAAAGTTTCATCGAAACATCACTTACCCGAGGCAGATTATAGTTTATTCACATTACCCGAGGCAAGAATGCCGGGAGGTCTACTTAGCTTCGAGTTTTGAGTTTCCCTTTATTCGGAAAAAGGGGAGAAAGTGAAAATTAAGGAACAACCTTCAATCCATTATCGGTTACTCCCCAGAGCCGCCAAAACGTTAAAATGACGGTATCATTATATAAGTTAATGGTCGATGATGAGAAGAAAATTGTACCTTCGGGACTTTTTGTTTCTCAATGCCAACCTTTCGGCTGAGGCAAGGGAAAGTACAACATCCTTAGGGCTCGACACAAAATCTTCATCTAAGCTAAGCTTTGTTTTCAAATCATCTGGCAATACCTGCAAAATTATAAGGTGAAAAGCAAGATGCAGGGGAAATGCACCAAAGTTGTTGAAGCAACAACATACCATAACTTCGTTCACAAGCTTTTCTAGCTGAATTTGTTCGATATATGTTCGCGGGATGTATGAGCCTTCCAACCCTAACTGATCAGCAATAGATTTTACGACCAAACGATCTCTTCCTTGAACCTTAGTATATCAATTCAAGGTTTTAGTAACTTCACCAACAAAGAATTAACTATAAAACAAAACCTCGGCATATAATTTAAAGACTACCTGAACATATTGCCGATTCAGCTGTTCGAGCCAATCAATTTTAACACAAACCCTTTCGTCACGAAACACATGGCTACTCCGTTTGAGGATTGCCGCCATTGTATATCCCAAAGCCATCAACCCACCGAGAAGCCGCACACTAACTTCAAAAGTGATCCTCGGAGATATAATAAACGGAGAATCTGTGACCCATTCCTGCAATTCAAATGCATAAACAATTGCAATTTGTAACAGAAACTCAAGATTTCAACAAAGCAGAAAAGTCCTTAAAGCAAACCTCAAACATGAGATTATATCTTCCTTCTCTGTTCCTCATCCTCAGATACGAATGGCACGACTCTGGATCTTCGCCAGGTGGCAAAAGATAAATATCATAAGTCTCTTCCATACCCTCCGTATGTTCCTCAGACAATAACGATTTGATCGTTTCCACCTCCACTTCCTTTGAAGACTGCAGAGGATGAAATTAGCTTAAACGTCAATGAAAAAAAAAAACTTTTATATAGCAGTAACTCCAGGGTTTCTGTAAGGATAGAGGAACGCAATTACCTTTAGAATATAAGTAGGACTCTGAAATCCAGTGAAGGGATTAAATTTATTGATTATTTTTATATGTGCTGTTTGTAGATCAGGCTCGATAAACGCCTTATACATTGGATAAACCTGCATTTAGTTTTAAACCGTACAACATTATGAGAGGAATTTTTGAATGAATCGGTTTCAGTTGATGATGTGGAAACAAACCGTTTCAGATATCTGCTGGATTATCTCTTCCGGTTCTTGCTCAACACGTTGTATATCACGCAACACTCGTTTTACTAGATCAAAATGAACACCCCCCGTTACAGATACTCGAAGATCAAGAAAAGGCCGCAGTTTCTCGTTCAATGCATAGATGCCCTCTATAAGTACAATACGGGAGTCGGGGACTTCAAGCGTCCTGCACCAGCACCCGAGGCATAAGATCGTACTCGTGGATTGATGGAATACAGAGGCATATTCCCCAACATTGAAAAGAAAGGAGCACGTGAAAGCATTTCAAGGGAAGATAGTAAACGTCAAAATGAATCGGAAATTGGAAGCCTAACCCGCACCAATTAAGTCACAATACACTTTCTGAGTACTACTGACTCTGTTACAATGCAGTATCTGTTCATAACTACTTTCTCAACCTATTGAACCATAAAGAGTCAATATCTGTTCATAACTACTTTCTCAACCTACTGAAGCACAAAGAGTCAATATCGAACCCATGACTTCTCGTATGAGAGAGTCACTTCGTGCCACTAGACCACAGTACACTTAGGTAAGCTAAAACACGTGACACAGTGAAAGGCTAGAGCTAATTGAATACAAGCACATCTTTCGATAATGGGAGCTTAAGAAGCTACATTCATACTATTTGCAATTACTTAGCCCTAATGGATTCAATAAATTACACGAGCCAAAAAAGTTTGCATCAGAATACAAAATGAAGGAATTTAACCTGTATCCTACTCGGGAGCTAGATTTGAAATCATATATTGGAATTTCAACGGGTTTGCCCACCTTCAGATCTTGGATGTTTTGGAGCAGCGTATCATAGTCTGTCAGGCGCGGGTCTGTCTCAAAAATATAAAAAATCAGAAACAATACAAACAACTGCATTAAGTTACACTTTCACTATGGAAAACTTAAATCCCAAATCCTCTACAAGACATCAAATTTGAAAGATATAAATAAATGTTTTCTTGAAACCACACAAAAATCACTGTATTGCAAAGTACTGTCAAATGAACATTGTAGAAAAGTTGTTCCAAAGGAATTACAATAAGACTTATGGTAAAATGCTTTCTTACCATCAAAGTTGCCATCAATGATACGACTTGCATCATTGTAATTATCCATTGAAATAACAGCAACAGTTGGCATGAAATTAAGTATTTTTTCAGTAAACATGGTCTTTCCAGCACCTGAAGGCCCAGCAAATCCTACCAATGTAATCCCGTCGTTTTTCTGAGCCAACAATTGGCATGCACGGATTACAACAAAGAACCCTTTCTCAAATGACAAATTATCTGGTATTGGTGCAATCTCATATCGATCACAATCCTTTCGCTTAACCAATCGAACTTGGTCTTTCAAGAGACTGGATTTTTGATGAGTCGATCCATTGTTAGTAGTATTCCTTGCCATCTAAAGTTGAAATAATCCTAAACTCTTATCTGAAAGAGAAGAAAAAAACACAGAATCAACTGCAAGTAAAGTGGCAGTATGATATGGTAGATTGACCTAAAGACCAGTTAAAATCTTCAACTTTTGAATAGCAGGTGATCTCATAATATATCCACAAAAATGCTCAAAATATTTTGAGGGGGATTAACTCAAATCATAGATTTGTATTATATATCATCAGAAATGAACAAAAACACAGCTAAATCTAGAAGGACTAATGTTTCCTCTTATTCCACCAATACTAAAAAGATGCTAGCTTTCATTGTACTAATCATAACAATACAAAATCCAGATACAAAGAGTATCACAATGATTACAAAAAAAAAAAAAAAAAAAAAAAAAAGGTTCCAAAAGACAATTTTGCACAATCCCACAAGTACACAATCCTCAACAGCATCAAAATGTGATCATTCACAAACAAACAAGGCAAAACAGCATTGCCCCATACTAGAATTCAACACAAAAATATACTCAATGCAACAGACACAGCTCATCAAATGCTACCACAAACAGACTAAATAAAACAAGAAAATGGACAATAGCCATAAAATACAATAAGAAAAACAGAAGAAAAAGAGTAAACCCAGGAAGCATTTAGATCAAATGAAAATATCAGAGTGAAATCCAATGCAGAAGGCTGAGAAACCCCACCTAAAAGAACAATGGGTAGACAGGCAGTGGGGCTCTAGTCCTGCAAAGAAAAGCATACAAGCTTTAGGCGGTCTATTTTGGGGAGTTCTTGGGACCAAGGCGGTGTATTAAGATTTATTTACCTATTTTGATCTTTATAAATTTCTCTGAATTTATTACCAAAGATTAAACTTTGGGGAAAGATTAATAAAGGGATTTTCCTGGAAAATTGAGAATTCTGGAGGTTTTGCCACGGAGTTGCGAAAACTACAGATTTCACAGACTAGAAACAGATGGACATGGAAGACTGGACTCCGAAGAGGATATTTATTGGCAAGTTTTTTTTTTTTTTTTCCTAAACAAGTTCAATAATTTTTTTTATGACTGGTAAAAATAAATTACTGCTTCTGTAGATAACGTTTGTTTACCCACCACAATTAAAACTCTCGGAAAATTTTGCCTATAAATGCGGTGCTCATGGCCCACCTCTATCCAGGCCAATCATCAATCCAGACAGTTGTTATACAATGGACCATGACCCACATATCGTTGTGTATAGTTGTATACTATGATCGTAGAATGAAATTGGAGTACAATTGAAATGATTTTTTTTTTTATCAATAGTCAGAAGATCAATCTTCCGTCCTTACTGTCCGCACACTAAGTGGTAGGGGACTGGCCAAATGATCTGCTCCATTCACATGGGTGGAGACGTGGAGTCGAACCCCCAAACCTCATACTTTAGTACGGAGTATTACTATAGTGAAACTAGTGTGTGCGGAAAATGAAACTAAAAAGCGAGTACATTATTATCAAATGGAACTGTAATATAATTAAAATGATACTTTTTTTTAAACAATTAAAATGATATTTTAGTATTGCTATAATGAAACTAGTGTGCGTGGAGAATGAAACTAAAATTCAGAGTCATAATAACGTCAAATGACCTGAAGTGCAATTAAAATAATACTTCAAAAATGAAACAAAAAAATATAGCTCAAGCAATAATGTATATTGTCAAATGAAATTATAGTAGAATTAAAATGTTACTTCCTTTCAAAAAAAAAAATGTTACTTTAGTATTGCTATAATGAAACTAGTGTGGAGGGGAAATGAAACTAAAAATTTTAGCAATATTGTAAAATGAAACTGAAGTGTAACTAAAATAATACATATTTCATGGTTCACGTTGCTACATAGACCACGGTCCACAGTAAAACTTGCCTAATCTAGATTGCCAACACGGATAGTTCAGTTGATTCGATTTTTGATTTATCCGTTCCCAAAACTATTCACTCAAATTCAAACCCAAACTTTCAATATTGACAGCATGAATTAAAATCTCCACATTATTACTGAAAGTAAGCGCGCCACGACATGTGGTCTTGAATGAGATTTCTCAATCATTATTAAGTCAATATAATTTGCGGTACTACCCATAATATAGTTTGCCTCTCCACGCCACGACGTAATATCACGTCATCTTTCTTTCTCGGTTTCCTTTGAACCTTAACACCACACCTTGGCCTGAGATTTAGCCCCAACTTAAATACTACTCCACAATTTCTTGTGAACCCGATGTGGGATCGTATCAGTTTTATTTTACTTTTTTAAATATGTATTAGTCCATTCGACTATTTTTTTTGGTTATTACTTTAATATTTTTTTATAATTTATAAATTTGATTTTTAAATATTTAATACTCCGTAGTATTTTTTATACAGTTTTTAAATATATAATTTTTATATATTACCACCAAATTAAATAATATAAAAATTTAAATTGTAAATAACATCATTCAAACCTCGTTAACCAAATCAAATACATAAATTGAGATGGGTGAATAAAGTATTATTAATTATTTTGGCATTTCAGAAATAAAGTAAAGTAATTAAAATAGATTAGAAGAAGTGATTTTTTAAATTTGGTAATAAATAGAAATCAAAATGCAAAATAAATAAATATATAATATATATTATACACATTACACCATATTTAAATTCCTAATTTAATATATGAACGATATGATGATTTTACACCGTACAAAAGGTACATTTGTGATGGATATATTGAAGATGGACCCGACCCGAGAGAGGTAGAGGCGACCTGCGCTAGCGGTGGCCCCTAGCCCGGGGCGGCCTCGGCCTAGGACAGCCTCGGTGGGAGGTGGCCTCGGTCGGGGTGCCCACCTTGTGCGCTACACGTGTGGGCTCGGTCAAAGGAGATCCAACCGCCCACCCTATTCTCATGGGGGCAATTAAGAAGAAGTTTTAGTATAAAAATTATCATTATTGTCTTGTTTAGGACATCTATTTACATGTTCAATCATTACATTTACTTATAATTTTCTTACAACACTATGCGTGACATATATTCATCGTATTTTGTTATCCATTTATTTATTCTTAATATTATCGGGTTTAGTAATTCGGGCTATCCATGTTAATTAAATCCATCAATCGGTATCTTATAATTGTTTATATATTATATAAGAAAAGTTTTATAATATAATAACCCATATAGGAAAATGTGTCAAGTAGGCCACTGAACTTTTACACATTGTACAGTTGAACCATCGAACAAAAAAAGTGTGCAATTAGACCATTAACATTTTAAAAATTGTGCAAATGGCATTTTTTACAGGTTACTTCTAGGTTTCCCTTAAATATGATGTCATAATGTCAAATTATATATAAAAAGTTATTTTAATTATTATTTTCAAAAAATTAAAATTTTTTTAAAAAATAAAAAATCAGAAGAATGTACTGTGGATGAAGGACGAATGAGTACATTCTTCTGAAATTTAAAAAAAAAAAATGGTTTTTTTTTTTAATTTTAATTTTTTGAAAATAATAATACGTATAATTGAGTAATATGATCAAAATATTATTTTTCTATAATCTAAGGATTAATACTTGAAAGTGTCATTTTCTCAATAAAAAATTTGAAAGGTCACTACAACACTGCTAATTTTTTCTTTTTGTTTGTTTGTTTGTTTTTTAATATCAATTTTTCAATGTAAATAGTGTTAAATTGATTATTTTTTCATCTTTATTTTAAAATTAGTTGAGATGATCGAAAATGATAACTAGAACACTACAATGATTTTTTTATTTTTTATTTTGGTTAACTAGTTAGGAAATAGGACTATGTGGTCCAATGGTACCCAGGTTGGACTTCCATTAGGAAGGTTGTGAGTTCAAGCCTCAGTGGAGGCGTTATTAGCTCTTTGTGTTTCAGTAGGTTGAGAAAGTATATGAACAGATACTACAATACTACAATGTAATAGAGCTAGTAGCATTCAAAAAGTTAGGAAATAGGACAAACTTATTTGGAGCAAATACCAATTTTGGTCCTACGACAAAATGACAGTTTTGATCCACATATTTAATTCCTACCAATTTTTATTCATGACTATTGTTTTAGTACCAATTTTCATCCACAATTCCACACCTATTATTTTAATCTAGCCCCAAAATTCATCATGTTGGTCACCTCTTTGTTTAAGACATGCTGAAATATGAAATTATTAATGGTATTTTAATCGATCTCTTTCCTTCGTTTGAGCATAAATAAATAAATTTAAGCTCTAAGATCGATCTCTTTCCTTCGCAGTTTTCCTTCTAAAATTAAGATGGGATGAGGAGGAGAACTGCGAATTGTGATCGATCTTAGGGCTTAAATCCATTTATTAATGTTCAAATTAGGATCTTAAGTTGAAATTAAAATTTTAGATTTCGGCATGTCTTAAAAGGAGGAGTGACCAGCGTGATGAATTTTGGCACTAAAACAATAATTGTGGATGAAAATTGGTACTAAAACAATAGTCGTGGATGAAAATTAATAGAAATTAAACATGTAGACCAAATTAAAACTGTCATTTTGCTAATACTCATGAGACTAAAATTGGTATTTGCTCAAATTATTTGTATTGTTTTAGTACAACATTGTCATTATTACTAGATTCTTAATTTAAAAATAAATACATAAAGTTGTGTTTTTTCATTATAAAATGTAAAGTTGACTATTTTAATCATAATTCCAGCCTTTCCCAAACAAAAAGCATCATTAAAGATGGCAAGATTTTGGCCAATGAAGCAATTGAATTGAGCTTCACAAGCATGAAATAGGAATCTCTCTTTGTATGCATATATATAAATTTGGGCAATGTTTTGGTCTTCTCTGAATAAAACAAATTGTATTAGAGTGACTTGGATGGTCATAATTTTTATAACTCTTTTTTCATTTTTGCATGTCATTACTTAGTATCGAAAATTAAAAAATGTTATTCGTATTATTTATTTTTTCAGGTAGTTCAGTATCTAATTAAAGTGATGTGTAATAAAATATGAATCTTCTTATCAACCTCTTCTTGGTCAGTTCATCCATAACGCATAGGGTCTTCTAAGTTTAGTTTGCAGTTTACCTTGCCTATGTGATTTGCGGCCTATTACAGAAAAATGAGATCTACTAAGTGCGGGCACCCCTTGAAAAGTAGCGGCAAGTTTTCTTCAAAAAAAAAAAAAAAAAAAAAAAAAAAAAAAAACTAATAAGCTTTTGGTAGGAAAGAGATAACCCACCAATCAATCAAAGTTGTGGTGTTCATCCATGAAAATGCCTTTTGAAGTTATAGTACCATAATGTTGGAATATAATAATATAGGTAGATCTATGATTGGACTTTGAAGATATAATGAGAATTTCTCACCAAATTTTCCCAATCTTTTCTAAAGATTTGTTGATCTGATGTGGCAAATGCAAGTAAGTTGTTCATTGGTGCATTGAGAAAGGAAGGTACAAAGTTCCCTAATAAAGTTGAGATTGAAATTTTAAGGACAAATTCAGTGCCTTTTTCCATTGTTGATTCTTGACATACAAATCCAAATAAAGATATGTCTCAACTTCCTTTTTGTTCATTGTGCTGTTGAGGGCCCTAGTGTTAGGCACAACCAATAGCCTTATCATCAATGTTTTGATATACTTTAATTATTATTATTATTATTTTCATATCTCACGGACTGATATCTATATCTCAACTCAAGTCCCACCTAAGAGCGTTGTTATATGTATGTAAACTTGACTTTCAACTATGGACTCATGCTTAAACAACTTAATAGTTGTCCACAATCCACCTAAACCAACGTACGTCTTATGGTATATTAGTTTTTTTTTTTTTAATTAATGTCTAAATTCTCTACCAAGGACCTTGTAGTCCAATGGTACCAAGTTGAACTCTTACATAGGAGGTTGTGGGTTCGGACTTCAATGGAACCTCAGTGGAGACGCTATTGACTCTCTGTAATTGTGAC